GTCCTGTCAGAAGTCATTTAACCTCCCTGTGCCTCACAGTATTAATTTCACAGAACTGTTAGATGGCTAAATGGGAAAATATCTCACAGTGCTTGGAACAGTAGTGATATAGTAAGAGTTTAACAAGTATCATTTATTATTCAAAAAATCATCTACATTTGTATTTGGACTGTGAACTAGGCACTAGTAGAATTGTACAAAACAAAAAAAACCCACAACATTAAAATAAAAATTAGCGTAATCTTTAAAAATAAACCTAAGTAAAACTTCAATTTGAAAAGGTAGTACCTAAATAATTATTGCAATATCTATAGAGAATACACATTTGTTTACAGAATCTCTGCAGAAGACACACATAGGAATCCTTTATGTTGTAATCCAAATGGATAAAAATTGATTTTGTGCCTATTATGTGTAAGGTGCATAGCTGTGTTTGAGGTTACAAAAATAAAGCACAGGCTTTGCTCATAAAAACCACAATTTAGTAGGGCATACAGGATACTTTTTAGATTTTTTTTTAAAAGTACAAATGTTCACCAAGGAAAAATGAAAAACAGTGAAAGGCAAATACGGCCATAAAGCTCTTTTTCTTTTCTTTCTTTCTTTCTTTCTTTTTTTTTTTTTTTTTTTTGAAAGGGAGTTTTGCTCTTGCTGCCCAGGCTGGAGTGCACTGGTGTGATCTTGGCTCACTTTCCCGGCTCAAGTGATTCTACTGCCTCAGCTTCCCGAGCAGCTGGGATTACAGGCATGCACCACCATGTCCGGCTAATTTTGTATTTTTTGTAGAGATGAGATTTCTCCATGTTGGTCAGACTGGTCTCAAATTCCCGACCTCCAGTGATCCGCCCAGACTCCCAAGTGCTGGGATTACAGGCATGAGCCACTGCCTCAGCCTCCCAAAGTGCTGGGATTACAGCTATGAGCCACCGTGCCCAGCCTGCTCTTTCAAATGCATTCTAGTTTTTTAAAAAATCATTAACCACATTATATGCAATTTTGTATTCTGTTTGCTTTCTCTAAATAGTAAGCATTATTTCCATTCTATCCCATAGTTTTGGAAGGATTTGGTGTTACATAATATTCGATTAGTGTGTGCATGTGGTAGCATCTGTAATCTTCGTTATGACCATTGATATTTAGTGTAGTGGTTAGGAGACTGGGCATCAATTTTAAGTCTGCCTGTATCTGAAGCCCAGCTTCCCCATTTGCTGGCTGTTACTTGGGCAAGTTACTTTATTTTCTGAATGTACTTCAGCTTCCTGTTGATAAAACAGGAAAAACAGTACTAACATCATAGAGTTCTGAGATATATGTAAAGTCACTCGCCCAGTGCCTGGCAATAAATCCAGCAAATAAGCAGTTTTAGACATTGTGTTTGCCTTACCAACATGCTTTCCATACCTTCTCTATTACACCGTAGTCATGCAGTTGGGAACAAGGCTAGATAGCGGATTCATTTAAACAACTCAGGCTCGTCCCATCCTTCCAGCTAGTGATTGTTTCAAACTAATCATGCATAATCCAAAGAGTCCTTGACAGTCATATGATCACGAATGAACAACCAATTTGGGCAAACAGACCTCATTGTGGCTTATACTGAGATGTGTATTAGAATTTGAGAGCAGCCTGAGCAACAAAGTGAGACCTTGTCCCCACTCCCCCAAAAAGTGTATTGATAGTTTTTCCTCCCTCAATGGGAACTGCTCTTTCATCAAAGGATAAACCCTACTTGGTAAGTTGTTCTTTGAACACATGATTTATATTTCCAATATTTTATTTAGGTTTGTTTGCATCCATATTCATAGGTAAAAGAACAGTCTGTAATTTTGATTTTTGTCTTTTCAAAGTTTCGGTGTCAAGGTAACAATAACTGCACAAAATTTAATGTGGTATACACTCACCTTTTTCTGTCTGCCAGAGAAAATTGATACACCATAGAAGTAATGTGTTTCTTAAAAGTCTGGGAGAATGCATAAAGTGATCAGGACTCATTGGAGGAGATACAATTCACTGGCTACTACATTTTATCTTTGGTTAGTGAGCTTTTGTACTTTTGTACTGAATATATATATATATATATATATTTTTTTTGAGACGGAGTGTCATTCTGTCACCAGGATGGAGTAGAGTGATCTCCTCTTACTGCAACATCCACCTCCTGGGTTCAAGCAATTCTCCTGCTTCAGCCTCTCGAGTAGCTGCAACTACAGGTGTGCGCCACCACACCCAGTTAATTTTTGTATTTTTAGTAAAGACGGGGTTTCACCATGTTGGCCAGGATGGTCTCAATCTCTTGACCTCATGATCTGCCTGCCTCGGCCTCCCAAAGTGTTGGGATTACAGGTGTGAACCACTGTGCTGGCGGCATACTGAATATTTCATAGCAAGTATTTGAGCCAAAATAGAGAATTAAGGGTGGCATTTAGTTTTTTAATAATCTCTTCTGGTTTTCATTATCTTTATTATTTCTGATTTTGATTTTTTTAAAAAAATGCATTTGCCAGGAGGTTGTCTATTTGCTTTATTTCTAATTAGTCTTATCCACATTGTTACTTTTTTCCCTTGTGTTACATGTCTAATTCATTCATTTTCATGTTCTATATAATAGTGGCTGTCAGTTTGCCTTTCAGCATAGCTTTAAATACATCTTCTCATTTTTATTTGCCATTTTGTTTTCACTCAATTTTACTGGACCTTTTTAACAAAACACTGTTTAGAAGGCTTCTAAATTATTTTTTAGGGGATTGTAATTCAATTAGTATTTTTTAGTTTTATTACCATGTGTAACTTTTGCCCTTTAAAATGCACTGCAAGGAAACTGTCAGGCTCTAACGATTGCTTTCAGCTATTACAGGCCATTCAGATGCTGAAGTAATGTACAGCAGGTGGGCACTGAATATCAGACCCATTCAATTCCTAAGGAATCCCAGGAGGCCTATAGGATCTAGGCTTAGGGTAGAAGACAGCAAGAGATGTCCTTGCAGTCAGGCCAAAGGACTAACAAAGAGGCTGGGAAGAACATGTTGGAAGTGTTTCTTTTATCCTGCTACAAATACTCTAAATCAGCTAATGTACAAAAATCTAAGAGATCTTTCTGGGTCCTCTATGCTGCTTTTGTCATGCGACATTGCTGTCTGATGGATTTGTAAACTATTTCATTTGAGAAAATTATATTTTTTCTGTACATATTAATTTTGCTTTATTACTTTTCATTTCTTGAGGATAATTTCTCCCCTGGGTCACAGAACATGTTTTGGTTTCCATCACAGTACTTACAGTATTGTGAAGGCCTTTGTACTTTCACATTTTAATCCTATATAAGTCTGCGTTTAAGTGTCAGGGTCTGTTGTCTTCACTAGTAATTGTAATTTTATCAGTGACTATGCTCCTGCTATTTAGCCTTATAACTTCTCCTTAAATTGTACTCTGAGATAGTTTTTGGGTTAAGTGTGTGTGACAGAATTGGATTTAAAGGAAAGTCTTTTGGATGAAGGAAATAATTTCATTTTGTTTTTAGAATTTAAACAGTTCAAACAGTTTTGGTCTTATGTGCTTTTTTTGACATTTGTCATACATACAATCTCACTTTTGTATTGTTCAAGGATTTGAAGAAGACATTCTATTATTAATTTTATTAACCACATTAATAGATTTGAAAAGATTCTTAATCTTACATTTATCAAAGTAAAAAAATTTAATATTTCTTTACAAAAGAGAAGGATTTTTATCCCTTACCTGCCTCTGCCCCCTGAAAAAAAGAAACTGCCATTCCTTCCTGGCCTTCATTAACTTAACCAAGGGTTATAAGCCCCACTGAAAAATTTTGGGATAAAGCATATAGTAAACTTTTTTTTTTTTAATGAAATTTGCAATTATGTTTATTATTCTAGTAGTTTCAGTGATGATTTCAATATTCACCGACTAGCCTTTCTTTCCTTATTCTTTTATTCTTAATTTTGATTCACTTTGGGAGTGTGGTGATTAATTTTTTTCCAGAAAGGGCAAATGAGCAGTACATTGTATATCCCAGAATGACTGTTACCTTTACAATTTGATTGAGTAGAAAAATCCTGGGCTACAAAACAGCAGACATTGCTCCATTCCAGATGGCATTTAAAATGTGTAGAAGAGGATCTTCAGTCTTGTGCTTTTTAAAAGTTTTAGGTCAACAATGTTTCTTCTATTAAAGCGGGTTATTGTTTATCGGGAACATCTATTAGTCAAATGATAAGTCTCTGTAATCGGTCTTTTCAACCTGCACCTTTTCTCTTGCTATATTCGTTGGAGGATGCTTTTTATCTTTTGCTCTGGTGCTTTTTGCTCATCCTATTTACACTGCAGAATCCTTTAAAGGAAAGTTTTTAAAGCACCATATATAATATCAATGAAGATATTTATGATCTGGATAATGAACAAGAAGTGGGGGAACCCCCTTCCATCTTCCCTTTGTGGGCTCATGAGAACCCATAGGAATCTGAAACGTAGTTCAGTATTCACTATTCATCGTGGATTCAATTTTCTTTAGTGCCATGACTATTTATTATTTCTGACACAAATATTTAGCTTCCCCTTTTCTTTTCTCACTCTTACTTTCTTGCTGTCTTGCCATCATAATACTCTACTGCATCATAGGGGGAGCAAAAGCAGATCTTTTCTAATATTTATTGTTCTATAAGTACTGGAAGAACAAAGGCCTTCTTTCTAAATGCTTCAGGACATTGCTCTTCTCTCCTTCTGCAGAACTGTCTGTTTCACCAGCCTCATGCTGATTTTTGCTTTATTCACTAAGAAAGAAAAACTTTAATTGAAGTAAAAGATAAATAAAAAACACATACTCCATAGAATACAGCTCAAAAGACCATCAGTTATCCCCATCCTGGTCAAGAAAGACAAGATCACCAGCACAGCATAACTCCCTTTGTGACCTTCTGCATTCCATCTGCTCAAAGGTATGTTTTGCTTGTTTCTGAACTCTGTAAATGGGAATATAACGGCACATCTTTTGTTGGCTGGTTGCTTTTGTTAAACATTATCTTAGTGAGGTTCCTTCAAATCGTTAAGTGTAGCAAGAGTTAGCTCATTTCCTTGCTATAGAGTGTTATATGCATTCTGTTCATGGACATTGGGGTTGTTCATGGACTTTGAGGCTACTGTGAATAATACTAAGAACGTTTTTCTATGTATCTTTTGGTACATATACGTACACATCTTGGTTAGATATATGCTTGAAGTAGAATTGCTGAGTTGAGGGGGTACATATGTTCAACTTTAGTAGATACTGTCAAACATTTTCCCAAGTGGTTGAGCCAACTTACATTTGCACCAGCAGTTCTTACTGCTTCACAGTCACCAGTACTTGGTATTGTCAACATTTTAATTCTTGCTGTTCATACCACTGTTAGGGTATCTTATTGTAGTTTTAACGTGCAGCTCATTAATGACTAATATGGTTGAACACTCTGAGTTTTAAAAGATTCTTAAACTTAATTGTCAAATTAAAGAGAATATTTTAATATTTCTTTACAAAAGGAATCCATCCAATCCCTGTCCTCTGCCCAAAACACAAAACAAAACCCAAAAACAAAACAAAAGAACCCTCCCCCACCAAACAAAAACCCTGCCATCTCTTTTGGTCTTTTGTGAAGTGCTTGTTCAAATCTTTTGCCCATTTAGTTACTTATTTCTCAATGAGGTTATCTAGGCCAATTGCAGAGAACTGTCAGACTCAGAATATTGCTTTCAGCTCTTTCCCAGTCTACCCAGTAAGTGCTGACATAATACCCAGCAGGTGGTCAGAGGTGTTAGGCTCATTTCATTCCCCCAGGAAATCCCAGGAGGTCTGTCAGATCTAGGGTAGAAGAGGGTAAGGGACTTCCTTGCAATAAGATAAAAGTTCTCAAGTCAAAGAAGCTGAAAAGAACATTCTATATCCCCTGCTCCCCATCTGTAAGTATCAGCTGATTTAGATCAGCTGATGTGCAGAAGCTAATAGGTCTTTTTGTGCTGGTTATGTCACCTTTGCCATTCATACTCTTCTAGTCAGAGGCAGGATCTTTTATGACTCCCCTACAGAGGTGAATGCCAGGTGTGGTTCTCTTAAATCAAGGAAACCTCCAACATAGTGCAGCTTCAGGGCCACTAGTGAAGGAATGCAGAAAGAAGCCTATTATGACAAGACTCTCAATAGCTGTCTCAAATCAATAGTATAGCTTTCGCATATGTAAGTTAATAAGGAGTGTTAGAAGATGGGAGACTAAGGTGTCATCTTGTTTTATTAACAAGATGTTCTGATGTTGAATTGGAGTCAGCCATTTTAAAAAAACCTACCCCTTACTGGTATTCTACTAAATTTTGATTTAGTAGAAATTCTAGTTTCCACTATTCTTACCCAAGTTTCTATGATTGACATGAATTTTCTTCCTATTTAATGTTTTCAAGGATATTTTTATAGAGCACCGGGAGAGGAGGTTTGCAGTGGCTTGCATTTATACTACTAATTATTATCTTTCTTATTTTCTAGATGAGAAAACAGACCCAAGAAGGCAATGTGGGTACCATATATGAAACTCACCTTCTGGGAACTGAAGGCTAATAATATCAACAAGATCTAGAAGACATGATAAATTCCTGTTACAAATAGCTAAAAGCTAATTGGTAGAAGTTGGGTATTCCAGGCACGCTGCTAATCTTTAAGGATGATGTAAGGGAGATCTACTTCCATTTTCTTTGTGTGTGAAATACCTTCTTTGAGTTAACATAGTAAATAAAACTGTAGGGATGACATTACAGTACCTGGAATAGACTCCTTGTTGCCTATGATTCCCAGATTTAGGCTAAAATTATTAGGAGATAAGTCCTGTTAGAAATTGCTGGTGAAAGAAATAAGCCAAGACGGTACCTACTGGTAGATAAATACTGGTAGAAATTGGTGATGATAAACCAAAAGTAGGTGTTATCTTTGCTAGTATACTCTTTTTTTGCCACTGTTGGTTCAGTCTTGACATTGCCAAAGCAGCTCACCCTGTCCAGTGCTCTCAGCAACTATTGTAGATTGTTTCTAAAGTCAGTCCTCCAAGCAACAGATTATAATCTTCTTCTCTACCTTCTTCAAATGATCATGCTCGCACTTACATTAAGTTATGAATGTACTAATATAGAAGAGGGAAGAAGTCTTTTGTGCCAGTGGAGAAATGATGTAAGAATGTAAAAATTATCTCCTAGGGCCAAAACCCAACACAATGGATAGGCTTTGTTTTATTTTACTTTTATTTTTGAGATGGAATCTTGCTTTGTCACCCAGGCTGCGGTGCAGTGGTGAAATCTTGGCTCACTGTAACCTCTGCCTCAGCTTCCTTAGTGGCTGGGATTACTCCAAGTGATTCTCCTGCCTTAGCCCTCCTTAGTAGCTGGGATTACAGGTGACTGCCACCACACTGGCTAGTTTTTTTGTATTTTTTTTCAGTAGAGACAGGGATTTACCATGTTGGATAGGCTGGTCTTGAACTCTTGACCTCAAGTGATCCGCCCACCTCAACCTCCCAAAGTGCTGGGATTACAGGTGTGAGCTATCACACCTGACCCAGATAGGCTTTGTTGACAAAGAGAGGAAAAAAAATGAAATTTTATACTTTTATATATCACATCTTCTAGTAAATTAGAACATAATTTTAAAGTAGATGACTTTAATTTTTTTCTAGCATTAAAAAAACAACAAAGAAACAATAAGCAAGCAAACAAAACCCTTAAAAACTCTGAGCTAATGAATGCTGCTACCTATGTCTTGCTAATGCTAGAAAATATTAATATATGAGCAAAAAAAGCAGGGAGTTTTAATATCATATACTTACAAAATCAGAAAAGAATTTGAAGAATTCAGAAAACATAGTTTCACTGAAGTTATTGTTGAGAAGCACTTTGGTTATTCTTCTGTGCTCAGTATTTCCCCCAATTTCTGGAGAAAACAGTACCAGTACTTGCCTTTTACATGGTTCTTGAGTTTTGTACCTCACATACAAACAACTGTTTAAAAATGGTCTCCTAATGCCTTCCTTCTGCCACTACTGCAGCATTTTGGTCAGACACGCAGTTTCTAAGAGTACCACAGTGGTACAGCTTAGGTTAGCTAGCTCACATGGACCTTGACATCTACATACTGCCTTCAATTCATATATGACAGTCACAGACCTCCCTTTTTCTCCGATAACCACTCAAATAAATTTTCACAGGGCCTGGTAACTTTCTCAAAGTATAGTAGGAGCTACATTTTCTACTAAGGACAAAACTTTTCTATCTTAAATAATGTCAAAGCATGGCCATTAATGAATGAACTATACCTTGCTATTTTAACTGAATACTGCTGTCTGATCTCCTACCAATACCATACCTTCAGTTCCCAGGATCCATGTGCTCTTGAGCTACTGTTTCTAGAAAAAGAAACAATGCAATCCATTTATTAGAATTCAGGTATTAAAATGGAACTTCTTATCTAATAAGGATGACCTTTTTGGTTTTTTCTTTACTGAAATCATATGCAAAAATAATTGCCCTGATTTTTAATAGCGCTTACCATCCACATATGGAACAAAGCCTGTGTGTGGCTTTACCTCTAGGTGAAAAGGCAATAGATTTCACTTGTTTTTGCCCTCACTGATTTTTAGTTTTAGTATTTATTAAAGTCACTGAAAGTTAAAATGTACCTATAAATCAAAAAAGCAATCATTTTACAAGAAGATTCACCTTAGGACTGTAAGAACACTCACATACATATAGAGGTATTTCTGTACCCTTTTGATTATTCTATTTCAGTTTTTTAGAAAATGATAATTACATCTCCTTCATACTCCTTTGACATTTAAAACAAATAACGTGATCATATGTACTTCTTCAGAGCCCCAATCTTTGGTAATTTTTTTACACAACTCACTTAAAAATAAATGTAAATAAAAAACATTAGATAAAAGCTTTGAATGGCATAAACAATTACCATGCCTTACAAACATCAATAAAAATGCTGGCCTATTACTTGTTATTTATGAGACTGTGTTTTTCAATTTCTTAATGCAATTCATATTTACTGATATTAAACTGAGGAAAAACCAGATGCATAATTCTAAAAAATGCCCAAGGTAAAAAGACTAAGAAACAACTTCTCGATGCCTTACTTTTACAACAGTTCAACCTAAGGTCCAACATATGAAACCTCCTTTAGGCCAGTATATTCCAAAGTGAATGCCACTGACCACCCCATCATAACCAAAGCTTGTTCAAAAACTCACTCCAAACCTACAGAATCAGTATACCTATATTTTAAACAAACACACAGGGTGATTCCTGTGGACACCAAAGTTTAAGAACCATAGTTTTGGCTGTGCGCAGTGCCTCATGCCTGTAATCCCAGAAATTTGGGAGGCCAAGGTGGGTGGATCACCAGAGGTCAGGAGATCCAGACCAGCCTGACCAACATGGAGAAACCCTGTCTCTACTAAAAAGATAAAATTATCTGGTGTGGTGATGCATGCCTGTAATCCTAGCTACTCAGGAGGCTTAGGCAGGAGAATTGCTCAAACCTGGGAGGAGGGGTTTGCGGCGAGCAGAGACCGTACCGTTGCACTCTAGCTTGTGCAATATGAGTAAAATTCCTCAAAAAAAGCAGTTTTAGGCATTTCAAACACCATCATTTCATTTCCATCTCAGGGCCTTAAATGAACATTGAAATGCTGTACTTTATCACCAGTGTTTACCACCACCTAGTGGTAAAGTCCCTTATTTGTGCTCTCTAAGGCTTCATTCATACTGAATAGGATCCGAATTGAGAGAGAACAAAATTCAGAGAAAGCTAAAATTTTAGACCAATGATTTCCTGGGTATTTTCCCCCACCTTTTTATCTATAGTAGATGAAATCTGTGGAACTAAAAATACTGAACATTTTCTAAATGTATTTAACCATGAAAAATTCTTTCTAGTATTCCAAGGAACATAGTTTGGAACATGTTGATTTAGAAGCAGCAAATTTGACAGTTGCTTTCAGTACCTGTAACCTACCATACAAGACCTCACTTGATGAATTTACAAGAAGGCTTTGATCAGGCTTATTTTAAATGTTACTTCTTATTTTAACTACATACTTGAGAGGTTTATTGAGCTGTACTGATTATTATTTAAAATTTTTAAAAAATAAATATGTACTAATAAAACACTGTTAGCAGTTTTAATAACTAACATTCACTGAGCATCTAAATATTTATATATTATGCTCTCATACTCAAAGTGCTCCTGAAAAGTAAACATTAAGGTGAGAAATAAACAACTAGATTACTAAATGCTATTTTTAGGTTCTAGAGTTTCCTCATTCTAAGAAAAATCTGAAATTCTAGCTTTTAAAATACAGCTTTAGGGATCAACTGCAAAAGACAGGAAGACAGGACCAAAGCTAAATAACTGAGAGGATTAAGATGAAATGCACGCAGACGCTGAAGTAAGCATTGTTTACTGAGACATGCAACTGGGAAAGAAAACAAAACAGGTTGTACTGAAAACGCAAAGTGTTTTGTAGGTAGAGAGGTATCACATGATCTCTTCAGAATTTATATTAGGATTCAAAGAAATACACCTAGATAAGGTAACTTACTCTTACCACAGCTGCTGGGACTGGCTGCCTGACTTGTAGAAGGGAGAAACCAGGATCATTTAATCTGAACAGAGAATGTGGAGGGCTGGCCAGGTATATGATAGCTAACATGTGTGAGATTCAATTTCTCCTAGAAAGCCCAGTGAAATGGGCTTTAATAGGGGAAAATTGTAGGAAATCAGATTTTGCCTCAATTGTGAAGATTAACCAAAGATGCAATGGACTCAGGTAGGAGGTAGAGAGCTCCTTCCTATAACTGTTACTTTTACACTGTTTAACCACCTGGCAGAAACATTTTTGAGGTAATTCAAGTATTACTTACATGGCAGAGCCCAATGACTTGTAAGGAACAAGTTAATCCCAATCTGTGAAAACTGAACCATATGTACAGTAAATGAGTTTGGGTATAATTATACCTATTTTTTGGCAATTAATCTACAATTCCCCTCACTTAGGTTTTTCATTGCTCTTTTTTTAAAAAAAAAAATCAAAAACAAAGAAACAGAAGACTGTGACTATTCACAGGTACAATAACAGCACACTGCAGCCTTGAACTCCTGGGCTCAGGTACTCCTATTGCCTCAGTCTCCTGAGTAGCTGGGACTACAGGCACTTGCCACTGTACCCGGCTTTGCTTTGTTTTTAAAATACATCCTCTGGCTCACTGAAAGATAGCTGGTCCAATTCTTGTCAGCAGTTTTGCCTGTGAAGATAAGATGACATTTTTTTATCTAAATTTGCTAAAATCACTGACTTTTTTTTAAGACAAGACTGTCACCCAGGCTGAATTGCAATGGTGCAATCTCAGCTCACTGCAACCTCCACTTCCCGACTTCAAGCAATTCTCCTGCCTCCCAAGTAGCTGGGATTACAGGGATGTGCCACCACGCCCTGCTAATTTTTGTATTTTTAGTAGAGAAGGGTTTCACTATGTTGGCCAGGTTGGTCTTGAACTCCTGACCTCATGATCTGCCCACCTAGGCTTCCCAAAGTGCTGGGATTACACATGTGAGCCACAGCACCCAGCCAATCACTGACTTTTAAAAGAAAGGATTTTAGTTTTCCAATGGAGATGTCCACATATAAGATACTCTATTAAGACTGCTGAATTTATTTTTATTTTATTTATTTATTTTTTTGAGACAAGAGTCTCGCTGTTGCCCAGGCTGGAGTGCAGTGGTGCAATCCGGGCTTACTGCAGCCTCCACCTCCTGGGTTCAAGTGATTCTCCCACCTCAGTAAGTAGCTGGGATTATAGGCACAAACCCTCACACCCAGCTAATTTCTGTATTTTAAGTAGAGATGGGGTTTCATCATGGTGGCCAGGATGGTCTCAATCTCCTGACTTCATGATCCACCTGCCTTGGCCTCCCAAAGTGGTATGATTACAGGTGTGAGCCACTGTGTCAGGCCAAGATTGCTGAATTTAATCTTTCATCGTTATTAGTTTGAGTCTGGAGGTGAGAGGTATAATGAGGAGATAATTATGTTTGAACAAATGTTTAGCATTTACAATACCTTTTTATAAAATGTGCCAAGTGCTTGATTTAGATACATCTTTTTGATATATATAATTCAACCACAAACCTAATAACATTTTTTGGTTACAGTTTTAAAATACAAGCAGAATAGATTCCTAATTTTTAATCTTTAGTTTAGTTTTTATTTTTAGGACAGGGTCTCACTTTGTCGTCCAGGCTGGAGCAGGACGACAAAGTGTCGAGCAGGCTGGAGCCACTATTGTGGCTCACTGTAGCCTCAGTCTTCTAGGCTCAAGCAATCCTGCCACCTCAGCCTTCTGAGTAGCTGAGACTACAGTCACATGCCACCATGCCTGGTTAATTTTGTATTTTTTTAGAGAGCGGGACCCCTGTGCTGCCTAGGTCGATCTCTTCTTGAACTCTAGGGCTCAAGCAATCCTCCTGCCTCGGCCTCCTAAAGTGACAGGATTATAGGTGTGGTGAGCCACCACCCTTGGCCCTAATTTTTAATCTTTAATTTCAAAATTACTATACCTCTTATTGTAGTCTGTTTTGAAAATTCCTTACATGTCATATTTTTGGAGTGGCCATTATTTCTATAAAGATAAAAATGCCCATCTCCCAAAGCCACTGAGATTTATTTAAATTTATTATCAACGAGTTTTAATTTTTTGTAACACTGTTGCTTAATAATCTTAAAAGAGCTTTACAAAATTACCAACGCATTTTGGTATAACTAAAAAAAAAAATACAGTATAAAATATTTCTAATGATTTGTCTTTTGTTCTTAGATTAAGTGTAAACAGTTAACCTGGATGTATAGATTGAGTAGCAGTTACCACATTTTGTTGACTCTAAGAAGCAATTGATTGAAAAAAGTACCTTTTCATGTTTTATTAAGGAAGAAAAAAAGGCTATCAATTACACTAAGCCATACAATTCATATCGAGATGCTTCCACTTCCAGAGGTGTTAAAATGTGAAAGATGTGCATCTCAAAATAAATAAAATATGTCATTTAGTCAAGTTCTAAAGACTGCCTGTTAAATTTTTCTATTCTTGTCTTTCACATAAATAAGTCATGATTTAGTTAAGCAAAGAAAACTTTATTTCTGCTACACGTAACAACATATTGCTCTAAGGAACAACTACTATATTCATTTTAGCATTAATGTATGGATTCAAAAATACATGTCAGCAATCCCTGCTTCCCAGACAAAACAATGCTGTACACAGACTATCAGGTATATGAAAAAAAAAGCTGTCAACTGTCCACAGGGAATGCGTCCAGTCACATTTTCAGTCAGTCAGCTGAGGATTATGTCATTATTTAGTCTTTGTTCTGTAGAAAGAACACAACACAAGTATGAAAATCATCACCTGAAAGGAAACAGCTGTTGTAGTATTCCTAAAATTTTAGGAATTGTTCCTTTATTTCAATATATCCAATGTCATCTGCTTAATCAGAGCCACCCCCAAATAAAACCAAACTTACTCAGAAGGGTGATGCAGGTACTGAATTTCTAGAGGGAAAATGTTGTGAATTAATAAAAAATCCGATGCTCTGAAATACTAAAATTTCTGGTTTCCTCAAATAGACAATTACATTGTGGTTATCAGACCCATCTCGAAACAGAACTCAACTACTTTCAAAGTTATATCCTTAGATCAGTTGCTTCTATTTCCTAGTCATGACTCACTTAATACCAGGCCCATACCTCAGAGACAAAATAAACTAGCCTTCATGAGTTGTGTTTGTAGCCTCTTAAAAATTAATGAAACAAATAAAAAAGTGCACCTACCCAAAAAAACTTGTCACAACCATATAAAATTTGGGAAAGTCTTCCACAGTATTTTATCGAACCTTAAAATAAGATAACATATTTATTTAATACACCAACAAAGAAGAATCTCATAATGGAGTCCATTGTAAATAGAAGATCCGCAGCAAAAAATTTTTAAAAAGCCATGCTGCAATTAGAAGAAATTCAAAACCATGTAGCTAATTGTATCCTAACCAAATAACTATTTCAGTTAACCTGACCCTACTTTATCTCTGCCCTGAATATGTGTAACAGTTCAAAAAAGGGAAAAACGATAGATTAAAATTTTTATGAACAGCCATGCTGAATATGCAGTTCCTCTAAGGTAGGAAATTGGATGAGTTTGAGGGAAAAATGTGGTTTTATAAAGCTTAGTTCTCACAGTACCAGCTGGCCATGAGGTAGTTTTATGTCATTATACTTTTAGTTTCTGATCATTTGGATGTCATTATTTTAGATAAAAGGACATCTCAAAGGTTTCACTGAAGCTACAAATGTAAGAGTTTTAGCTTAGACTTGAAAAGCCTTTTTTCATTTTACTAGGAATTTTGTTGACTCGTCTCTCAATAGCCCGAAGAGCAAACTGGGCCTCAAAAAGGCAAAGAGGGTCAGGTGCAGTGGTTCACGCATGTAATCCCAGCACTTTGGGAGGCTGAGAAAGGCAGATGGCTTGAGCTCAGGAGTTCAAGACCAGCCTGGGCAACATGACAAAACCCTGACTCTACCAAAAATAAAAAATATTAATAATTAGCCGGGCATGGTGGCACATGCCTGTAGTCCCAGCTACTTGGGATGCTGAGGTGGGAGGAGTGCTTAAGCCCAGGAGGTGGAAGTAGCAGTAAGCCCAGATCAGGCCATTGCATTCCAGCCTGGGTGACAGAGAGAGATTATGCGTTTTTTTTTTGTTGTTGTTGTTTTGTTTTTTAAAAAGGCATAGACACCAGCCCAGTCACAGTTAAATGGCTTTTAAGCCCAATATTCTCTTTAACATGTAAATAATCATTAGAAAAGGTTCAACCATAAGAGTAATTTATATACTATTCTATACTGAGAAGTCTATATTATTGTCCTTTTTAAGGACAAAGTTTTATAGAGTAAAAACAAGAACTTTTTATTTCCTATTATTGAAATATTCGCAGACTGGAATAAACACATTTTTTTGCATGCTATAGAATAGCTTGTCCAAATAGAATTCATTCTTAACATTTTATTCATCAACAGGAAAAAATGCTTACTAATTCTTTTTCACTGGGAATTTAATATTTCCAGGGTTAAACTGCTAACAATGTACAGTACAATGACAGTTTTTTGTCACTTAATATAACATTTAAAAACATTTAAAAATTAGAATTATACGTAATGTATGTAATGTGCCCAATGGACACCTTCTCTTGTCAAATGCCTTCTTTTTTTTTTTTTTTTTGAGACAGAATTTTGTTCCATCACCAAGGCTTGAGTGTTGCACACTATCTTGACTCACCGCAACCTCCACCTCCTGGGTTCAAGCAATTCTCCTGCCTCAGCCTCCCGAGTAGCTGGGACTATAGGTGCGCGCCACCATGCCCAGCTAATTTTTGTATTTTTAGTAGAGCCGGGGTTTCACCTTGTTGACCAGGATGGTCTCGATCTCTTGACCTTGTGATCCACCCACCTCGGCCTCCCAAAGGGCTGGGATTATAGGCGTGAGCCACCGCGCCCAGCCTCAAATGCCTTCAATGAAGGAGGGACTAATCATGTGACCTGTTCTAGGGAAGGAAGGATCATTAGAAGTGAGGCCTGGTAGGATTCATTTTCATATGTGCCAGCTCACATAATTGGTCAGAAAGAAAATCTTAAGTGAAAAAAATAAAGGTTTCAAGCCAATAACTTCAACTAAATTCAAAGTGCTTGCCATCTACTACATTTGACCTACAGTAGACTTGGAAAGCTGGTTTGTGGGAACAGGAAAACAGCCTCCCCTGAAATTTAGAATTATTTTACAGAATAAAAAAAGCCAAACTTTAAAGAATGTTTCCCCAAACCACACAGATATAAAGTAACTGTCACAGTAAAAGAAATTATAGTTTGATTTTTGAAAACTAATAAATAAAATAGGAAATGAAATTCATATGGCTGTACATATCGTAATTTACAATAGATAAAGAGGTCTTGGTAAATTGTCAGGTTTTCTTAAAAAACACATATATGCACACAAGAATATTTTCTGAATGTATTGTTTTAATGTACAAACTCACAAATATAAGTCCAGAAAACACCAACAGTTAGGTTCAGAAGGTCCAAAAATGATATATTATTTATTGCCTTTTAGACATTTCATTAGAGAGAAGTCAAAACATTATCTTTATAAAAGACTGTTATAAATTACCTCAATTCATAACTCAAGACAGAAATTCTTCAAGTGAAAGATCTTTAGAAGTATTTTAATTTTTTTTGAAGCAATCTATATTCTAGCACTGGGTAATTAAAAAGTTTATGTAAGCACATATAGTAAAAAAGTCAAATTCTTAAAATCTAAGATTTCACAAACAAAAAACAATGATCTATCTTTCTAAATTGAAATCTAATTTTATTTGATAGGGCAAAAACATTCTTCTAGTAAATGTCAACAATTTTTAAAGTTTAAATAGCTGCAAAGCTCTTTTAACTAACAACTTCTAAACCACTAAAAAGAAAAGTTCATAATTAAAGTACTTATGCATATTCCTCTTGCTACACTATTTACTCAATACGTTTTAAAATTCAGATTAAAAAAGGCTTACCTCAAGAATCAGTAAGTTCTTTGCCGTTTGTTAGATTCTTCTCTTGGTGAATCTGCCAGCATAACTTTAAGTCTCACCCCATTCAGAATCTTTCCATGTAGAGTGGCAATGGCATCATTTGCACTTATTCTATCAGCATACTTGGCGTAGCCCACATTTTTTCCTGACACAAGGTAAACTTCGATCAGGTTACCAAAGCGGCTGAAACAAAGTGAAAAAATAAGCAACCAAAATTGATAAATACAGCTGCTCAGGTCTAAAATTTGGAGTCCATGCTTGACTCCTTTCTCACCCTTCTCCTCAGATCTGACATCCAACTCTTGTCAATCTTAAACATCTCAGTCAATTCTATTCATTCTCTTTCAGGTCTCTCTTCTCATTCAGACCATCATCTTTTCCTTAACCTAATTTCTTTTTCACTAGTTTCCTTAACCCCTGGGCTTGTCCCTCTTCAATCCATTTTCTACTCTGTCTTCTGAGTGATCTTTCTAAAATCTAAATATGATCATTTACTCCCTAAAAATCCCTTCAGCAGCTCTCCACTGCCTCCAGGGTGACAACAAATTCCTTAATAAAGCTCAAGAACCTTTCTGACATAGTCCTTGGACTTTTTAGTTTCATCTTCCCTAACACTCTCAAATTCCCTATCTAAAAGCTCTTCTTTGCCATTCTCTATGGCAGAAATAACCATGCATACTACCAGCTTTCACCTGTAGCAAAATTATTTTTATCCTTCAGGTCTCCACATACACCTTCATTCTTTCAAGGCTTCTCAGAGTTTCTAAGGTAACTGCTCCTCCAATGTATTTCACACATTCCTTATCACAGCACCAATCACACTGGGTTGTAATTTTCTAGTTACTTATCTGTTTCCTACATGAGATCAGCGCTAAGAGGACAAGAACTATAATGTCTTGTCCATTTAACATTTTGCTTACATAATGTCTCTTGTACTTAGCATACACAGTTCCTGCCTTGCACAAAGAGGAAGTTCAAGAAAAAAACTAAATACATCAGTTAAATAAAGGTCAAAAAGACTTGAATCATGTCCCTGATTTTTTTCCTTTTGAGCCTCAATATACAACCACAATATGTCCCTGATATTTCGTGCAGCTCTTTAACAAGCTTCCTATCTATCTAATTCACTAACATTCTTGTAAGGCAAATGGGAAAAAGACCTAAAAGAAAAAGTGAAGAAAGAAGTTATGTTAAAAACACAAAAATAAGAAACTTCCCCCTCCTTTTTTTTTTTTTTTTTTTACAGAATTTTGCTCTTGTTGCCTAGGCTGGAGCACAATGGTATGATCTCAGCTCACCATAACCTCTGCCACCCAGGTTTAAGCCATTCTCCTGCCTCAGCCTCCCGAGTAAGCTGGGATTACAGGCATGTACCACTAAGCCTGGCTAATTTTGTATTTTCAGTAGAGATGGGATTTCACCATGTTGGTCAGGCTGGTCTCGAACTCCAAACCTCAGGTGTCTGCCCGCCTCAGCCTCCCAAAGTGTTGGGATTACAGGTGTGAGCAAGCCAGATCTTCCTTTTTTTTTTTTTTTTTAAATAAAAAGCATTTATATATTTTTCCCTACAATCAAGTATCATTTACACAATGTGACTATATAACCCTTAAGGATACAACAATGCACCAACAAAACAGAAGATGCTTAGTTAAAAAACACACACACACGCACAAAAATAAAAAGGGTCTCACTCTGTCTCCCAGGCTGGAGTGCAGTAGCACAATTTTGGCTCACTGCAACCTCGAACTCCCAGGTAAAAGCAATCCTGTCACTTCATCCTGAGAAGTAGTTGGGACCACAGGCGTGTACCACCATGCCTGTTTAATTCTTGTATTTTTTGTAGACATGGGGTTTTGCCATTTTGCCCAGGCTGGTCTTGAACTCCTCAGCTCAAGTGATTCCCCCTACCTCGGCCTCCCAAAATGTTGGGATCACAGGCACGAGTCACTGGGCCTGGCCCATTTTATGTCTTCAAAACAAAATAGCAAGAAATTCTATACAGAGCCTTAGGATGTGTGATTGATAAATAAGAGAAGAAAATGATCAGAAATTGAAAAAGATGATATAAATAAGTAGTTTTTACTAGAGGAGGGACAGCAGGGGGTGAGGAGTTGGGGAGGGATAACATGGGGAGAAATGCCAGATATAGGTGATGGAGAGGAAGGCAGCAAACCACATTGCCATGTAGGTAACAATCTTGCATGTTCTTCACATGTACCCCAAAACCTAAAACACAATAAAATATATACATATATATATATTTTTAAAAAGTAGTTTTTAAAACCACAGAACAAATTCTCTCTACCTGATAAGTACTGGATGAAGGAAGGGTCTAGATTAGGAGAATGCTTAAATTACTAGCATAAATAAGTTAAAATAAAAAGTGTAATTTTCTTACCAGAATATATCTTCTAATACGTCTAAAGGTAAAGGATGAGGATTAAACACAATAAAAAGTCTTTCTTTCACAGGAGTTTCAGGAGGGGCCTTTTTTTTGCATGATGGAAGTACAACATCTGTCTGGATTTGAGGCAACTGTGATCCAGAGCTTCCTCCAAATTGCTGTTAACAGGTAGAAAACAAGAAAAAGAAAAAAATGCCCTTTAGGGATTTTTGGCCAAGAGCTAAAGACAGATATGTATCATGGCATCTATGTGGTCTTCCATTATAGCTCTGAAAATTTTCTTATATAGGTAATCAAAAAAGTACAATTTTTCTTCATATTTATTTTATATACTATTGATATATTACAAAGATTAAATTCTTACCTACTTACCATAAATTGTTGCTGACTTGGGTTATTCCACACCACTGATGCAAGCTGTGCAGCTACCATCTGTGTTGCCATTTTTCTAAGGAGACTGGAGACAATAACTGATAATTTACAGAAAACTAGAAATATTCGGTCTTTTAACAATAACTTGTTTTGTGTGACTTTCTCACCTAAGACGTCAACTGTTTTCTATTTTTATTCTTCAAGTCCTATCAATCATGTACACTCAAAGCTTGGCTTTAGACACTCCTGGAATGGTACTTACTCTGTTGCATTACTTCCATCATCAATGAAGGAAACACCTATTCGATTCCCAGGAGGGTACTGAAATCCATGTAATTTGTATTTTGCATAAATAGCTGATGCTACATTAAAATACTGAACCACTCCATGACCTAAAATAGAAAATATATAGAAATGAAACAGGAAAGCAGATTGAGTGCCTAAGGCCTGTGTTACAATGTATCTCAAAAATGAAACCATTTAGAACTTTAACATCACACAACTAGTAAATACAGAATCAAATGTATCAGAAAACACAATTCTGATATACATGTGTGCAATAGGTGTATTCCTAGAAAAGGAAGAAATGATTTAGGGGAAAAAATGAACATGATATTTTAAGGAAAATGGAATATTAACATACATTCTGTCTAATAAATTTAATTTTAGGGTACTGGCTTTCTTATATCATACCAATATACTTATGAGTCTAAATTTTTATTCTTTGAAATCTACTTTGAAATATCAAGATTTTCCAACCATACTGTGTAGGAAACAAAATGAGAAGTGATAGTTGAAAAGAATATATACTCATTCTGGCTATCTGCAGCAGTAGGGAGAGTAAAAATGATTTGAATGAAAAACAAAAAGATAGAGAAAAGATGATCTCAGATCACAAGTCACATATTTTACATTCCTTTGCAGAGATTTCCATCAAAGGGACAAATTTCAATTTAGGAGGGTGATGTTAAAGGGAAGGACAATGGTATAATGCATTCCTTAGAGAGACCAGGAGCTTGTGACACAACCAAAAGGTTTTCACATTTATAATACAAACCACTGGGGAAACACTTATAATTTATGTTCATCTGGAAACCCAAGCATCCAATATTTTAATAAAATATTTAATGAAATAAAACACAGAAATCAAATGACCATATAAAGTTAATTCAAATGAGATTCAAGCTATATGATGACATGTCTATTAATAAAAAGATGTTCCAATTGCACATATATTTCAGACACATCCAACCAGAGAAACAAAACAGTAGGTATAGGAACAAATACATTTTGATATACAAGATAAAAGGGAGGTAAAACAAAACAAACACAACTTCATATGCATATAACAAATGTGCCAGGTGTGTCTGTATGAAGGGTGGAATTACCTTAGTCCTGTTGGTCCACAAGACCAAACTCACTTCCCTACTTCTACATCAACAGCCACGTCACTCTAAAAGGACTAAATTAAGTATCCTTAGAAAACTGGAAGAGATGCAAACCAAGTATGATTTCTCTCTACCACCCTTCACTAACAAAGAAAAAAAAAAACCTTTAGATTTACTGAGTGCCCTATTACGTGCCAGAATTTGCATTAGGTTATTTTACATATATTACCTCTAATTCTTACCTAACCCTGGCAAAGAAGGTATCAATGATCCCATTTTACATATGAGGAAAGAGAGGCTCAGAGAGGATAAGCAAATTGCCAAGGTCTCAAAGCTACATGCCACTGCTGGGATTTGTACCTGATTCTGATGCAAAAAGGAACACCAAACTTTCCCATTATGCCACAGTGCCTCCATTAACAAAGAGCCTTAATAAAATCAAAAGCTTAAAACACAAAGATGGGTTGGCTATTGCTAGATAATGGGTTTAATCAATTAACTAATAAATTCAAATGGCTGATATTAGAGTCTTGCTTCCACTGAAACTGGAAGAAGCAGAGAGAGAAGTAGGGCATTCAGATACTTGGAATGAAGAGAATGAGGGGTACAAATTTAAGAGAAAGATATCTAGGGATGAATGAGGAGGAAACACTGTGAGTTTCATAACTTTGCCTCGCATTAACCAAAAGAGTACATCGAGACAGAGGCTCTATCCTGAGGTATTTTTTTGTTGTGCAACTGGAAATACAGAATGTTATATTTTGTGGGAGTTAAAATATATTTTGCAGTGAACTATTTTGTAAAGAGGAGATATGTTCCAGGGCTTTGTTTATTAAGGTATCACCATAACTTGAAGTCTGAAGTAGGGAAAAAGGAAAGATAAAATTCCTGTCACACGAGCAGTATCTGACATAAAAGTCCTACTAGAGAAAAGCCATTTTAACAAAACTCTGTGTATATATGTATTTTAATATGAACGTTATCTTACCATAATTTGAATAAGGATCTCGTTGAACTTCACAATATTCCAATCCTGGTACTATATCAAAAATGCTGAAAAGCTGTTCTTCAGTGAAAGGAACTCTTGATACAACTGACAAGCGTTTGGAGATTGCTTCCTGGCCTCGGCTGTCATTCTTGTCAAAACTTGAAAATTCAGATTGTTGTTCTCCAACAATATAAAAAAAAACCAAATCTTTAGATTTCTACACAGCCAACAATTCACTTAAAATTTTAAATACTAGAAAAGAAAGAGTCCATTGTACTGAATAAAGGCACTGTATTTTGTAGTATGCTTCTGGTCATCAGCACTACCGATGGGACTAATGATAAGAAAACAGACAACTCTTCCCCCTTGCCCTACCTTTAATGAAGAAATATAAGCAGAAATGCATAATTTCACAGAAATAAGTTTAGTATGCAAAACTGAAAAATACAGCAAGAATTTTACCTGAAAGTTTATGTCAAATAACATTCATAGGCCTCACTTTCATCACCCATTTTCCCTTTTTCTATTATAGCTTCTACTTTTGCTATTCCTTTCCTTTCTGCAGCCCTAATTTTAAAGCAGCAGTAGTTCTGGGACAAAATTTTAGGACTCATACTGAGAGGATATCTATATATGTCTTTTTAAGTTTTTGGTCAGCTGCATAGAGGCAGAAGCTCGCCCAAAAAAGTGACAGTGATATGTGGCAGTGGCAATAGTTTATAATATGAGGATAACTAAACAGAGAAAACTATAATTAGAAATCAGTTAAACAAAGTAAGTGTTAAATATTGAGAACTTAGGAGTTATAAGCCACTTTTTAGAAATAAAAAGCTACATTTAAGATATTTATTCACTAGGTGAAATTTATAGATGACTAATAACAGAATATTTTTTAAAACCCAAATTAGATTGCATATACTACATTATACTATTAAAGTATAGGTAGCCTACTTACCAAATGGAAACATATTTACTCTAGGTTCATGTCCCAAAGCCTCTTGCCTCATATTACTGTAATAATCTTGTTCAGAGGATTCAGATGTTTTATTTTTAGGCTCAGCCAAGATTGCTCTAAAACCTGAAAAAAAAAAATCCATGAATTTCAAGTTTCATAGCAAATTTAACATACCTGCAAATATACTTGATTGCTAGTGCCTGACTCAGCTTTATAAATATAACTGTACATAGTAAAACTTATACAATGGCCATCTCCACCAGACCTACTTCTTTGCTTTCTGGAAGATGGCAAAGAGTAAATGAGAAATAGCAAGTATCCCAAATTATGAATCTATGTAGACATGAAAGATCAACAATTCTATGCTATCCCTTCCAATCTTCCCCTATTATAGATAACATCATCATCCATTCACCTAAGTTCCTCGACATCAAAATCCTGCAGGGCTTCTTCATATTTAATCTGTCACCAAGATTCTTCCTTTAAAATGCACACACTTGGAATATGCTATCTTCCACTCTAACTTCCCTGCCTCTGTTTTTAATTTAGATTCTCTTCAATTAATTACAACAGTCCTTTAACTGTTTTTTTTTCTTCTGGATCAAGAGTTCTTAACTAGGGGTCCAAGGATGAGCTTCAAAAGGTGGGAAGGTTGCAGGAACCCTCTGAAACTTTAAACAAAATGCTTATTATGCATTTATGTGTACATGGAGGGTTCAGTTTTCTTTACATTATTCAGTGGCTTAAAAAAGGATAAAGCCAGCCAGTTTGAATTCTTCTCTGGAAATTTGTGTGGTTAGATCAACTGTTATTACTTTAATCTTTCTAAACAATCTACAAAAGAATCCTAAAGTGGACTAACCTTGAACTTTTCCTAACCTCCCATATATTGTTCCAATGTACCTAGTTAACTGTGTCTCAAAATGTCTCAACAGAAATACTGTGCTTTACTCAGACAGCTGCCTTCACAGCACTAAGCAAGATATGTTTACTCCTGGCTTTGTGCCTCTGCTAGCACTGCTGTCATCTTCTGTCCTGCCTACTCAACACCAGACATAAGTCCTACCCCCTCCACATGTGTTCCCATGCTCATCCAGCACATTTGTTTTTCACCATTGACAGACTCTACCATACACTTACAAACATTTTTTTCATTTGGCAAATTCTTATTAAACCTACTATAAATGGCAGTTACTTTTATAGAGAGTTTAATAAATCTTTACTGAGAGCCTAATATTGTACTAGATACTTGGAGTGACAGACAAAAAAGACATGCTTCTTGCTTTCAAAGAGCCTTCAAAAAAAAGTTCTTCCATTATTCTTTATTTTTTGGGGTGTGCCTATTAGATCTTGGCTACTCAATATAGCTATAAATTCCTTAAATGCTAGGGCTGCCATATAATTCATCTGTATCCCTCTACTTAGCGTATCGATGAGTATACCACAGGTACTTAATTAGTGCTAGCTAAATGAGAAATTTAGAAGGATCTAAGAGAAAATTTTGGTATGTACCTTAGGGGTATCTAAGAATTCTACTGATTAACAGTAATTCTTTCCAGTACACATAGATTTTTATAATGTCCTAACATCCTGTAATTTAATTATTCCACATCTAATTTCTAAAGGTCAATTTATCTAACTAGAAGTATACCAACAAAGAATGTTCTCCATGACATCTTAAAAATTCTTATGCTTTATATATACAGCAACATCAGAAGATCAAATTCATGTCACACTAGCTTGAAATTAACCCTAGCTATATTAATTATTTATGTTAGCACATCTTATAAATCTTATTTTTAACCTATATGTTTATTAGTTATACTATATACTTTTTGGGGTGTAGATCAAATATAAACAAATATAAAGAATATTTTAAAAACCTTGAAAAGGTAAGTCAATTTTTAATACTTAAAATTCTAAAATACATGAAAAAAAAAAACCCAAAACCTCTGCAAATAACCAAAGTATGCATTTCACTAACTTATAGTGGTTGCTCTTATTTCTTCAAGACAGTGCCTCAATGAATGTTTAATCATAGCCCCAAGGTATTTTTCATCCTTGGACTGCATGTATTTAAATACCTACTACCAAAATTACATTACCAGATATGGTTATTAGCAAAAACCAATCTTAAATTCAGTTATTTAGAATAATCAGAATTTTTTACAAAAGTTTTTAACACTGTTAAACAAACACATCCTTACTTCGATCACAGTTTTCTATTGCTTGGGCAGCTTGTGATGGTTTTAAGTATCGTACGTAGCCCAAACCTTTACTTTCTCCAGTGACTTTATTCTTAATAATGCTGCAATACTCGATATCTCCATACACCTAAGAGAGTTAAGAGACATTATCTTAGGGGGCTTAAAATTAATTGAACAGAGTATTTCTGAACCAAAAATTTGTTTATATGCGACCCTTGCATGCAAACAAAGAAGTAAGCAGTATAAAATATGCAGATATTTTATACTGCTTATTTCAGAGATGAGGAAGCTGGGGTTTAAAGAAATCAAAGAGGGACAAAGCCACAGAAAAAAAAGTAAGAATCTGTACATGGTCTGGATAGCTCCAAAGTCTTGCTCAAAAGTGGTTAAGAGCCAGAGCTCTGGAATTAAACTTTCTAGATACTGTCTGTGCCTACCTCTTTATCTATTAAAAGAAACTAACAGTAGTATCTACCTCACAAGTAGATACTGAAGAAAAACATGTGAAGTGCTTACATGGGGCTTAGAACATACTAAACACTCAAAGAACATTAGCTATAATTACTTGTCTGTCTTCTAACAGGAGCATAAATGATTGTGTATTCTTTAGAAGGACTGCTTTTCAAAGGATATCTTTAAAATACACTGGTTCACTCAGAAAGTTACTATTCTGAGAAACATGCAGTAGTGTTTACTTTTAATGTTCAAAGAAATATGGAATATAAACCATTGATATTATTTATTTTATAAATTCTTAATTAATTAGAAACTTAATTACTATACATTAAAGTGTCATATTTGTTCATTCAGGAAAAGATAAAAATTTATAAATATTTAAGGTACAAAACATTTTTCTTCTGGAGAAAGTATGAAATATACATTTTTGATATTTGTTATTTTTGAAGCATTTTTTTGAATTCTCAATTGGGGTAGGAGAGGAAGTTTGAAAATTACTTTTTACTACTTATTTTCTTTCTTGCTTGTTGCCACCCAATTCATGGAAAGATTAGTAGAAAAAAGATAAAAAACTACAACTCAAAACAATTTAAAAATTGCTTTTTAATAATTTTTGTGAAAGCTTATCATCGCATAAGTTAATGGCTAAAAAGACTTAAAATCATCTTTGAATTTCATTTACATAGGTCAGAGCTGTACTTAGTTTTCTTCATTACATGTAACTTCTTCAAAGGCCCAATTTTAGGATGAAAATTCTTCAAAGAATAAGACTTTCTGTGAATGAGTAGTACCGTATCAACACACCATAGGCCTGTTACAAATACTAGACAATACAGTTCACACACTCAGGCCTGCCTGATTCGCCTCTACATGCCAGGCAATAGAGGGGAGTGATAAGAGAGTGCTTTGAAATTTTAAAGACCAAGAACAGGCTCCAGGCTCCAAGAGTCTGGGTTTAAATCACAGCTCTACCACCTACTACCTGTGACTTTACTTAAAAGTCTCTGAGCTTTGTACTTCATTTCTGTGAATCTCTACTGTCACAATAAAGCAGGGGGAGACTACAATTACTACTTTCAGATTTTACATAATCTTTAATTTTAAAAACTAATTTATGCTAGGTTTAATATTTAAAGAGATTGAAAATTATGAAAACAGTTATGTAATTCCCCATGACTACTCTACTGACCTTATTCAAACAATACTTCAGATTTAGTACCCATACAACCTATGTAGGATTGTGAGTTATCACATATGCTAACTGGTTAGAAAACATAATTACCTTAAATTTTTCCCGCAGATCTTCTTCTGTGTAGGACTTTGGTATCATAACAAAGATTCTTGTAAGTTCTTCATCTTCAACATCTCGGTGACTTCCAGATGATCGGGACTGAGCAATGAAAACCTAAGAAACAAACAAAACCCCAAAAATAATGTTAACTATTTTCCCACTTCTTAAATTTTTTCAAAAGCAATTTTTATTGCAATGAGTTTTGTGTTTTTTTGTTTGTTTTAAGGCGGGGTCTTGCTCTGCCACGTAGGCTGGAGTGTAGTGGTGTGATCATGGCTCACTGCAGTCTCAATGTTCTAGGCTCAAGGAATCCTCCCACCTCAGACTCCCAAGTAGCTAGGACCACAGGCACACAGCACCACGCCCAGCTAATTTTTTATTATTTGTAGAGACGAGGTCTCGCTATGTTGCCCAGGATGGTCATGAACTGCTGGGCTCAGGCGATCCTCCCACTTTGACCTTCCAAAGTGCTGGGATTATAGGTGTAAGCCACTGTGCTGGGCCCGCAATGACTTTTTATATGAGATAATACCAATCTCAGTATTGTGTTTTTCCCAAACGTATTTCTACTTTTGCATTTATTTTTAGCCAGAACAATTTGAAGAAATGAAATACAATTAATTAAAACACGATAAACAAGGGCCCTTTCGTTGTTTGTTTCTTTTTCCTTTAAAGGGGGCTCTATATCTTGGTCTCCGATCTACTGCTGGTAAACGGGGCTCTGTATCATTCAAGCATGAGAAAACTGGAACCTATGAAATTCCAGAGTAGGTGGCAGCAACTAAGAAAACCACAGGGTTAGAGACATATCCCTATATAGTCTACTTCTAGTTATTCCTTCAATAAATCTATACTATGTCAAGCACTATATGAGTACAGTATTCAGTAACAGAGAAATGGCCCATTAGAAAGTCTTGCGGCTGATACCAGTAATAAATGGTAAATAGTGAAATACAAATAGGGAAACTTTAAGCATATGCAAAGACACTAGAGAAAAAAAAAGAACCTCAGGTAAGATGAGACTGGAAGTGCCATCAGAGCACAAATTTTTAAATTTCAGAGGACTGAGGTGTTTCAAATCTCTGATAAAGGAGACAGTCTATATGTAGAACATATGTAAAATAATTAACCTCCTCATGGTAGATTTCTCCCATTAATTTTTACTTTCATAGACTATGGGTGTTCACAGGCTCTAGATAAGAAGCATTCTTGAAAAACTAAAGCCAAGAATTTTTTCTTCTATTTTCTAGGTTTCCCCCTTTCCATCAGATAACATAGCTAGTCACAGAATAACTTTTACTTGGACAATATTTTCTGGCTGAGGCCTTACAGGGTCCAGCCCTATAGGGTCCTGTGAGTCCCCCTCTACAGGTGTGGAGACGAGAAACTGTGAAAATAAAGACACAAGACACAGAGATAGAGAAAAGAGAGTTTGGGCCCAGCCATGCACTGCCAACCAAAGTGCAGAGTCCGGCAGTGGCCCCGAGTGCCTGGACACTCTGACTTTTATTGAGTATAAAGCAGGGGGCAGGGTAGGTAGGGTGAGGTAATGGTGGTCAGTGATAGGGTCAGGTAAATCACACGTCTTGGAAACAGGAGCTCAGGATTTTCAAGAAGCCGAGGCGAGGAGAAAACCTAATGTGTCAGCACTTTTTTCATATTTGTCAAGAATATCAGGGATGTTAAAATTTATGTTACTATTACTAATTCTTATCTTAAAGAGAGGAACCAGGTGCAGAAGCGGAACATGAAAGTAGACATGGAACGTGACCACTGAAGCACAGCATCACATAGAGACAATTAAGCTCTCGGATGACTGCAGGCCTCCCTGACAGCTGCCAGGCCTACCACAAGGGCTTGGAAGAGCTGAGTTTCCTCCTAACTCCCCCAAGGAAGGAGATGTCTCGGCCATTTTGGACATCTCCTTCCCTAGCTGGCTAAACAGTGGGCACTTTCACAGTGCTGGCGCTGCTGCGTAGCCAAGGTGCCCTCCAGCAGCCCTTATGCGGGCGTGAAGAAAGGCTTAGAGGATCTTGCCTTAGGGTCACCTCTTTCCCAATGCCACTTCAGTTCCATACTTCATGACCTGAGACTTACGAATAAAATTAAAAATTATATGATTGTATATATGTATATATTTATGATTACATGTAAATAGCTATGTGATTATCATAGGAATAACTATGTAACTATCTCTAATTCTTTTCTAATTCAATATTTATATGAGAACAGACTGAGGTCTCAGACCCTCGCCTTGGCTCTTATGGGGTTTCCACCGAACAAGGCCTGGTACGATAATATTCTTGTCCAACAGATCCTTTGAAATTTTGCAAAGGAAAGTACATGAGAAATATTGCAGCTGAATTAATTTAACTGGAAATGCTGAAAACAACACAACAGTGTTCCAGTGGAAGATGACTCAAGCTGCAGCTACTGAATGAAACTAGGCTGTCAGGGTGTGGTGGGTTACAACTGAAACGGGAGGCCTGAAATGGAAGGATCACTTGAGTTCAGGAGCTTGAGACCTGCCTAGGCAACATAGTGAGACCCTGTCTCTACAAAAAATTTAAAAATTGCCTGGGCACTGGTGGCTCACGCCTGTAATCCCAGCACTTTGAGAGGCCAAGGCGGGTAGATCACCGCAGGTCAGGAGTTCGAGAACAGCCTGATGACCAACATGGTGAAACCCTGTCTCTATGAAAAATACAAAAATTAGCCAGGCATGGTGGTGGGCACCTGTAATCCCAGGTACTCCTGAGGCTGGAGAATTGCTTGAACCTGGGAGGCGGAAGCTGCAATGAGCTGAGATCATGCCACTGCACTCCAGCATGGGCAACAAGAGCGAAACTCCATCTAAAACAAAACAAAAAAAAATTAGCTGGGCATGGTGGTACACATCTGCAGTCCCAGCTACTCAGGAGGGTGGCTGAGGTAAGAGCCTGAGCCTGGAAGGTGGAGGCTGTAGTGAACTGTGATCAAGCCACTGCACTCTAGTGAAACAACCTTCTGGCTAAAACTGAATAGTCAAAAACGTGAAAAACAAAATTGTAAAGTTTAATTCTTTTTGGGAGCAAGAACTTTAATTTCTCTGTGGTGAAATAAAGGGTACATTTCAGTGTTGGGCTTTTAATTTCTCTTGTAGATATTCATCAGGGGAAGGTGTTCCATTTATTTCAAATATGGCACTTTTTTTGAGTTGCCCACATGGGGTCTGTGGCCATGTTATACTAAAAATATGAAAACCCTCTCCACTAAAGTCATAATTGGACAGCAGTGAAACTCATCAGTCTAGTACAGGGGTCAGCAAACTACAGCTCCATTTTTGGTATAGCCCACGATGAAAGAACTAAAAAACGGTTTTTACAGTTTTTAAGGACTATAAAAACAGAGGAGGATATGTGACAAGTGACTGTACGTGGCCCACAAAGCCTAAAATGTTTACTAGCCAGCCCTTTACAGAAAAAGTTTGCCAACTCCTGATCCTGTATGCTACAGCCCTATAATTAATTTTGTTGCGGTACTACTCTGACACACTTCGAAGAAGTGTGGAGAAGTGGGAGGGATTGTTTACTGTGTTGTTGGTGTATTCCCAGGCTCCTCTTTTGTGGAGGGAACAAGACCTCCAGAGACTGAAATATCTCTGAGTCCTTTATTTATATATAAGTCCATATTCATACCATTCTCAATTTGGAAAACATTTTTCTTAATTGAGAAAATATTTTTGTGCAAAGTACCAGCAGAATAACATACACAGCAACTATTTACATGGGGCAGATGAAGAGTACGATTTAAGCAACTGGCAGATTCTCAGGATTGAGTCCTGATTTGAGGTCACAGAGAGTAAGCAGTGACATCTTGGCTATTACCAATCAATAACAAGAGCTTACCATGTGCGAGGCAGTGTGCTAAAAGCATAGATTAACTCAACCCCCAAAATGACCCTTCCTGCCATGTGTCATTATCTCAATGATTTGGCACTTCTTGAGGCAGTTTACTTTGGTCTGCTTTCAAAGAAAAGTTGCAGTAACAGAAAGAGTCAAGAACCAAATACATCCTATTAACACTTTCAGAAACAGAGCTCATTTAAAATAATTTTCAAAATCACAAAATGTGATGAATATGTAAAGTGGCCGTTTTAAACTCCTGCACTTAAGTGCTATATACATGCATTCTTTTGTCTGGTACTGGGAAAACGTCCAACACCAGGGCACCCTAGTTTAAAGTACTTTCGTCAAGTTTTTATGCCTTTTCTCTACTTGAGGAAAAGTAGAGTTTTTCTGTTTTTCATATATGGAAATTCTGGGCATCTGAGAGAGGAAGGTGAGAAAAGTCCTCAAAGTAGGCTAGGACGAGTTTGGCAGTTAACTCAAAAGCTGGTGGATGAGGAAGGGCAAGGGAGCGGGGAGGCCCAGCCACTGCTGCTCTGCCACCCGGTGGCCGCGGCTGCCGGGTCCGTTCTCGGGGGCAAACGTTCTCTCCGCATCCCGTCCCCTCCCTTCCCTGCAACCCGGCGCAGTCTCGTGGGAGGGGAGCCTCTCCGCAAAGCCACCCCCTCCCCACGCCAGGTGCTGCCTAGTCAGCTGCCGGGAACGGACGTTCCACCCCTCCCTCACCCCCGCAGAGCAGCAGGTGAAGGGAGGTCCGAAAGGCCCACTGCCTCCCCCGAGGGCATCCCGACCCCGGCACCCGCACCTTGATGGGCTTGGTGTCGTTGGGGCCAAGGCACTGGCCATGCATCTCCTCCATGGCCCTGCAGGCCTGTGAGCTGCGGGCGAACTTGACGAAGGCAATGCCCTTGGACTCTTTGGTGTGCTTGTCCCGCACCACCCAGATGTCCTGGATGTCGCCAAAAGGCGAGAAGCGCTCCCTCAGCACCGACTCGGGCGTGTACTTGCTGATCACAAGGAAGATGCGGCTGTTGGGCGGTTCGTCCAGGCTGTCCACGCCCGGGCGGAAGCCCCCGCCGCTCGCAGAGCTGCCAGCTTCGTCCATGGTGCACCACCCGAACGCAGGGGCCTCGGTGCTCTTTGCTTCGGCGGTATCCGCCACCGCGGCTGTCTCACAGCGAGCCTTTACGGGTTCATAGCTCCGCTTCCGGGAGAGAGAGGAGTCCGGCGCCTGGCGCTGTCCCGCCGCGCAGGATGAGGGCTTCCGGGGAGCGGCCTGCAGCGCCCCCTGGCGACGCGGGGGACTCTGACCCATTCTAAATCTCCAACTGAGCCCAGGCCCAAATATCAGCTGTGCAGACGTTCCCTCCAGGCGGAACTGTGCTGCTTAGTGCGCAGGTTTTCCCAACGCTGGCTTTACCCCACCCCTAAGGTCAAGGATTCTTCCCAGTGTTAAACAAAAAATTACTCATGACACTAGTTAGAGATGGTACAGTAAGGCCAACTTTATTCAAAGGGAGCCATGGTGACAGGGCCAGGGACAGCTGCAATGGGGTCCTGCAGTGGAGGAGAGAGATTGGACTGAATTTTGACTCTAATAAGGACAAGTTTATAACCAGGAAGCTGGGTGGGAGGTCACTGGTGGAAAATTACTAAGAGGAAACATCAGGGTTAAGGAGGATTCTGGCTAAACCAACTGGACAGGATACTTGCTGAAGGCAGGCCAAGGTGATTAACATGGATGGTGGTCAGATACCAAGAATGAGGATTTCCACTACACTGATTCAGCAGGTTCTTGCTCAATCTGGATGCTACAAGGACTGAAAGCCTGAGATCAAGCCTAGTCACGCAGAGGACTCAGAGGAGCCTAAGTTTTGGTCAAAGCGGAGAGTCCTTTCTCACCATCTTGGTCATAAGATCAATAGATGGTCACTATGGGATAGAGTTCAAACTACAGAGCCTTAAAGTTGAAAGGAAGCTTTGAGATCATTCAATTGCAGCCTCATTTGTTGGAAATGAGGAAGCTGAGTCCTATAGCATAGCCAAAGTAATAGAGATACAAGTACAGCCAAAACCAGCACTAACTCAATCTGTTGATTTACTCAACTTGTATGAGCACCCCTGAGGTGGAGGGCAGCAACGGTGGACTGCTCAGCTGTAGAACTACGAGAAATCATAGAGTGCAAGCAAAGTGGAGAATGCCTTCTTGTTAACAGGAGAGGTCCGAGGAGAGGTCAGAAATCCAGCAGAAATCCAGAAACAAGGCCTGGATTTAGCAGTGGCATTGGAATGAAGGGAAAGGAATAAACCCCTAAGTGGACCAAGAGCAGAGTTTAGAGTTCTTCAAATGAACAAGTCCTGGGTGCTAAGACCTAAGTTGCTATGAAGTCAACCAGATAAATACTTATTGTACTCCAACTATGTGCCAGGTTCCATGCCAGGAGCTAGATATATAATGAGGAACAGGAAAGACGTGTCCTGAGGGCTTGCTTTTCCCCACTGTGGAAATCTTACATGTAAATACATAATGCAAGCTAGTGTCGGATTGTGTTACATGGTTTTGCTACTGAATTGTGTGAGCTTGGGCAAGTTACTTAATACTTGCAGCTTTGGTTTCCTTAACTGTAAAATAGAAATAATATTACCTACCAAATGGATAATAAATAATATTATTTTATGGTTGAATTAATTAAGCTTGTTAGTCACCCAATAGCTACCCAGGAGTGTGGCTATCGAGTTTAATTAATTCTCCCGTTCATTTAATCAGTAAATATTTTTGACAATCTACTATGTGTTAGGCACTGTGGTATACCGAAGGGATGCAGTACTGAACAAAATAATCACTCTCCTTCCCTTGCAGAGTTAATCACTTAGCCTTGTATAGTTATGCTCATATGAGATAATATATATGGAGCTCAAAATAGTTTAGAGATCAAATGAGATAATATTTGTATAATGGCACAATTGAGATTAATTTTCTTGTTCCCTTTGACTATGGTATCCACTCCTCCACCCTTGATATTTTACAGTTGTGTGATGGTTACTGAGAGTCAGGGATTGTGAGTTGTCACCCTGGATTTAGCACTAACAAGATTTTTTATAATTTCTCCTTGTATTACATTCTTTATCTGTAAAATGAG